TATTACTGTGTATCATACGTTACTGTTTCTAGACAAATGAAACATCCAAGTCTCAACTCGTGTGAGAATGTTTTGAGCAATTTTATTAGGTAGGTTTATAATTATTTATCTTCTAAATGTACATGTGGAGGACAATAGAGGCTTACCTTAAGTTTAAATGGCAACCTAGCGACCGAATTTAATACAAAACTTTCTAAAGAATAACCAGAATGAAAATTTTCCTTAAGAATTCCTCAACCTAGATAATTCCTTACTTATTATTCTAAACCAGATCGGGTTAAACAATATTGTTAATAAATGTAACAACTAATACAAAACAATTTGGATTATGAACCGACTGAATAACTTTGTTACTTGCTCGTCTTCAAAACATCTTCTAAACTTGTTGATAAATAAACCAAAAGTTTTACAGTGTTAGCTAACAAACAATTTCCACAAATAATTTTCAATTGTTCTACTGTCGTAATATTTAACAAAAAATATCATCTACTTTGACTATCCGAATCCTGTTACTTTCCATATCCTCTGATATTACGTTTCCTTTCATTTCAGACTACATTCGACCCATCTGCCTGCCATCCATTGACATCGACAGCCCGGACTTCTCGAACCTTCGTCTGGCCGTCGCCGGGTGGGGTCGGAACGGCCGCTTCCGATCGAACATCAAACAATCAACAATCGTCAATCTAGTGCCTCAGGAAAAATGCATAAAATTCTACCCAAACCTGTCAAGACGACAAATGTGTGCGGCAGGTTACACTGGCGAGGACACGTGCAAAGGTGACTCAGGCGGTCCACTTATGACGGTGTATGGTGGGAAGTACCAAGTGGTGGGTGTCGTAAGTGGGAAGCGGGCGGACTCGCCCTGTGGGACCTCCGTGCCGTCGCTCTACACTAACGTCTACCACTACAGAGACTGGATACAGAGTAATATGAAGAATTAATTATTTCACTCGAGTTGCTAGTGCTCAAATAGTCTCATGTGAATCATGAAGTTATATAGTTATAAGTTTTAGTCTAAGGATATAACATGTAAGTCCTCTTCCACCAGAAAATAAACGAAATCAAAGTAAATAATTTAATTCATTTCTCCTCGAGTCCTAGTTCGCCAGGCAAACGTTAGGTGTGTTAAATGTAGCATATTATTGCGGAATGATTGCCGGCTAGGAAAGGTCTCAGTTTCCCTAGAACTAGGTTTTGCATGCTACCGAGCAACAAATAAACTTTTATGAACTGAAAAATGTAGCGGTAAAATTCGAGGTGGCGATATTTTGTAGCTGTTTTCGTCGTGGCGTTGGCAGGTTCGCTTTGTGGCGCGTAAATTGGCAGCGTATTCAGCGATTGCAAAATGTGCATTCAAGTGAAGAATTAATTTTATTGAAAATAATATAATGCATGTAGATAGCAATATTAAACCGTTAGTCGGATTTCCAACAATTCTTACGGAAACCAAGTTTGTCTATTATAAACTGCAATCTAGAAATCTTGACTCAAACTTCAAAGAGACTGTAGAACATCCCTCACAACTACTTATATGGTACTAAAGATATTACCTACAGACAAGCTACTCAAACTTACATCTCTTTGGTTCATAAACAACCGGTAACTAATATAAAATTTCAAAGAGAAGAAAGCCCCCAATATCGGCATAAAAGACTTTAAATTATGTAAGGATCCTGTTCATAGTTCCCCTTCTCCAAGGAGAGCATTTGAGCGGTATTTACTAACGTGCGGTATACCTTTTCGTTTTCTAACATAATCTTTGTACACACTAAATGGAAGTAAAGAAAAACCATTTTATAATGGTCTCAGTTTGTATGATCTTTCCGCACGTTTCAAGGTTGGTTTATACCGGTTTTGTATATCTTGATATTTAGTCGTGAATGCATAGACTTTATAAAGCTCCGCACTATTACAAGCCCCGTCATGTGTTCCCTTAATGAGTGGGGGAGTGTTGCCTAAGGAATAATGATAAATTATGAGATTTTGATATGAGACTGCCTCGTTGGCCGATTGGTCGTAAGTGCGACTGCCGGGCAAGGGGTTCGATTCTCGTGTCGGGAAAAGTTTTACTGGGTTTTTTTAAAAAAATCTCAGTAGTAGCACGGAGTCTTGAATTGTGCCCGGTATATGGCAATAGGCTCACCCCCTATTACATGTACATGTACAAATAGTGAAAAGTGGGTGTTACATTGTACAGTGGCATAATGTGCACCTCTGCCTACCCTGTCGGGGATAAAAAGCGTGATGTTATGTATGAGATTTTGCACAAAAAAAAAAAAAAAAAAAATGTTGTGCGACCACGTGTAAAATAAAAATGTGATGTAATGATGTTTCGTAGCATATTATCCTCTCCTGATATTTGCAATGTATTGACATCGGTACTCGGTACAGTTACTGTAGCTTTAAAATCACGAACCGGGCAACAAAACGGGGCCTCTCAAGTTACAACTGTCGCACTTGTGCAATACACCGAAGCAATCGAGTGTTCTAATATTGAATTCTTTAATATCTTATAAACCTGAGAAAAATGCCAATATTAGATACTTGAGCACATTACCGCTTACATGAAGGCACGCAGAGAATCTAGTTTTCTGCCAAACGTACCTACCTATATTCGTATTACCTTCTTTCCAAAATTACCTAATTCCATTAACACTGAATGTTGCGTAAATTGCTTCTTAATGTTTCTGAAGTGTAACATGAAAATACTTACAGCTTAATTATTATCCAAGTGTGTGTTTAGGCGGAGTGGCGGCAAGCCGTGCCTTTGACGAATGATGATGGATTGTGAGAACCTCGCGAGATGGGGTAGCGACAAAAAGCTATATACATTAACAGTTTTGTTGCTTAGCTTCATAATAATATAATCGTTACACTTACTTGCATGTTTTATGCGAGGTCACAAAATGAGGTCAAAAGATAGGTACACAACTGAACTAAACCCAAGTCAATAGTTAATGCATTTTGCTTTGCAAATAGTAGGTATAACTGGCTAAATTAATAACACGCTTAATTGATACTGTTCGTCTTGTGTGTTGACACATCACACACAGCTCCTGGCTCGCGTACGAGGCTCTTAAAACCACGCTCCTCGTTCCCCATGCTATTAAACGCTGTGGAACACAATCCGGGAGAAGAACACTCAAATGAGCAAACACTATTATCAGGACTGTGCCGAGGGCGTACAGATTTCCCCGGAGTGCCCTTCTCCTTAAAAGTGCCGGTCGGATGACCGCTATTCACTGCACAGCCTCGGACCGACTTCTTTTTACATAAAAAGTGAGATGAATGAAATTTTAAAAGTGAGCGCGTTCGATTTTTGCTTGATTTTTCACGCCAAAGAGATTTTGGCTAACGAGAAAACTTTCAACAAAGAGCTGTTGTAGTTTGAGAACTGAAGAGAATTACTAACTAAGTATTGGACTACTGTGTAGACACTATCGAAGTCCTTTAATCATTTCCTGGGATCCCAAAATAGCGTTGTCGATTACATAATAATGTACAATGTCGCCGCCAGTCGTTTTGTAGGGCAAAACATATACCCAAATCGGATGGTTTTTGACAGCCTAAAACGGTTTCACAAAAAAAGGGAGCACAATTTATCAGCGATTTCGTCTCTGATCCCTGAATCCCAATATCGTGGTAAATCCACAATCTATGTCGGTCCTCCCGTCGGGTGGCAAATTTATGTAAAATCAATGCAACAAATAAAGAACGGTGCGACGGTAAATATCCGCGCCACGTCACAATTAGTGCGTGTCCCGCTGGGCCGGACACATTTTGTTATTTGCCAATCTATTCACGGCCCCGGTACGCCGACCAAAAACGATTCATACAATTTTACACCCTATTTTTATTAACTTCCATCCGGACTTCAAAGGCAGATTCAAACTATTCACTTTAACGAAATAGTGTTTTACTTTATTTATTGGGTAATAATGTACGAGTATTAAAATTGGAAATTGTTGTCATGCATTTTGTTATTACAAAAATATGAATTGAATCAATCAATCATGAATAATTGGATGAATGATCACACAAACAGATAAATACCAAATACCAATAAAATTAAAATGTTTGAATAACATTTAAATGTTGGATTAAGGTTAAAATGTGCGGTTAAAAAGGTTTAATAATATTTGTGGTGTATTTGGCGAAACACTTTTAGGCCGACAGATCCGATCCTGAATTAAGTCAAGCAGAAATACAAGATTGTTTCCGTTCAATAGGTCTAATCTCTCAGATGGGTATTCGTGCTGAAACGATCCTCTTTTATTGGCGTCTCTTTGTCGAAGTATTCGACATTTTCATCGGTTACTATACGAATTTTAGTTGAGGTCGAAACATCTCGTGGCTCCTAAATTTGATTTAGAACTAAAGGTTTCGAAATTCAACACCGTATTTCAGCATCGTGTTCCAGAGCTTTATAACTTCGTTGAAATTGAAACACTGGATACACTTAACTAAATTATTGAGCCTGGCTTAGGTATTTGCTCTTTACTTTCTGAATCGCAAGATGTTCTCGTAAATGGTTAGTACCTACCTAGTTTCTTACGATTGTCCATCGATTACTTACAGGATTAGAAGTACGGAATGTAGTAACGTTCTCTTATAGAGTAGCTAAGAGAAATTGCTCTTAATGCCTTAAGACCTCTTGCACTATCGCGATCGCATCGCGACCTATAAGTCCGATACATTTATTGCTCGAGTTTTCAACCGATATTGAATTCATCTTCAAGATAGTTGAAGTAGAAACTTGAGCTACACTGTACCTAAACAATATTGGGAAAAACATTTCACTTCTAGGTTCGAAGATTTCAAGAACAATTTACTCATTTCGAACTACGTAATAAAACGGCTTATCGCTTGATCACACTGATAATAATAAACAAGATCACCATACATATATTTTAAATCTTAGCCTACCTTCAAATACTCACTTCATCTCAAAAATTTATTTATGTATGCAGCGTTACCCTCATAACAGCGACAAAAAATTAGCTTGCTACCACGCGCTCCTGACTATTATAAAATATTCGCTGTATATTTATCAACTGTTTACAATATTGGACCGTACGAAGAGAAAAAACATGATATTCATTGTAAATATGCAATGAAACCCGAAACTCGTTTCATATGCAACGAGATGGTCGAAGATCGCGTTCAGGGACATCAGTGCCTTCCTTACTCTGATCAAGTCTGGACCAGTGTTGTCTAGGAACAGTGATATTAAACAAAATTGTCCTTAAATTATGTCCATTATGAGGGTTGTGGCTATTACCGGTTGTGACAGTGGTCTAGGATGGGCTATAGCCGCTAGGACGGCCCGCGAAGGAATCGTTACTGTGGCTGGTATGTATAATGGAGTTGATACCAGGGCAGCAGAGAGTTTGAAGAAGTTAAGTGCACATCCTTACTCCTTGGATGTGACGAACCCAGATAGTATTGCTGGGTTTCATGATTATGTCAAAAGCTTGCTAAATGACAACCCTAACTACAGTAAGTGATTTTTTTACTATTTTAAGTATTTTGTAATTTTAAGTAGCTGTTTTCTGTGTATCTATTACTCTAACTTTTAGGTAACCAAAATTGTCAATAGTGTTGTTTGTATTTTTTAATATTTCATTGTTTATTGTCCTGTAATAAAAAAAAAACTTAACAGACAAACATACTTATTATACGAACAGAATAAAATAATTAAACTGTGTCCTACCAGACTCCTAATCTGATAAACTGCTTTTTTTTTCTAAATACTTTGCCCCCACATTAGGATTTTCTCCTATGTCGTGGGTGCGTTTACAAACATACAAGTTCACAATTTTTATATTTGATTTGATTTATTTATTTACGGATATAATCAGTTAATACATAATATAATATACAAACCCTTTACAACAATATAGAGGTACAATTAAAAAGGGAGCTAAAGATATAAAATAACTCAATTAAACTACAGATAGGTGCCTAGTCGTTTTCATTTTGTTCAAAATTAATATTCCATTAGCGTACCACTGAAGTTGGACCGGAATGGGATTACACTGCAATTGAATATTGGACTATCCGAAACTATTTTGTTACGGGTGTCGTTCTAGCGGTTCTAGACACTTTTAACTTACACGGGATTTAATTAAAAATTTAAAACTTTGTCCATTTGATTATACCTCGTTGTAGTAGTGGTTGAAAGTTGTCCAGCCAAGCTTATGGCAGCCAGATCAATTTTGTACACCTGAACAATGTTACTATATAGGACATCGACTGAAAAATATTCTGTCACTTATTGATACAACAGAGGCGTCATCTATATCAACTTAATAATCATTTCCAAAACGAATGAACTTCTGTAATATAAAAATGAATCGCTAATTGTGTTGCTAAGCGCAAATCTCGGAGTGTTATTGTTATGTGAAGGTTCTCTTATAAGCAAAAACTAAATTATAAGATGAAATAAAGGTCGCGGGGTCCGTTAGTGATACAATAATTATTGTTTCAGAACTCCATGCAGTCGTAAACAACGCTGGTGTGATGACAATAGGTGATTATGAATGGCAAACAGCCTCAATGATTGAAAACACAATAAATGTGAACCTCCTCGGTACCATGAAGGTTACTTCTGCCTTCCTTCCAGATTTAAGGCAGAGTGCTTTAGAGGTAAGAGCATAGACACTAGTCTTTTCAAAATATCTGCTTATTTGATTTACTGTTAGCAAAAAGACATATACTCGATCCAGATTAATTAATCAAGCCGAATAGACGAAATAACGAATGGAGTTTCTTGCTCGTTCTTCTCCATTCGAATCTACATTTTGGAATGAGCACCTAGCTTCACCTAATTTCACTGACGGACTGACTGACAGACTATTATTTATTTTGTGTTTGTTGACGTTTCAAAAGTACCAAACTATGGTTTAACTCGTCGAGTACCGGTTTTGTAGACACAATTATAGAACAATAGGTTGCGGTCACCGGTGACCGCTTGGTATTTGACAGTTTAATTGAAATAAATGCTTTGACTTTTGACTTTTGACTTTTGAGCCATAACCAAGACGGTCTTGTTATTTTCAAAAAACATTATGTGAGTATCTAGTACAGGGTTTCCCAGACTAAGGGTCGCAATCCATTGGTGGGTCGCAAACGAATTTTTAGTGGGCTTTGTCTATAGAAAGACACAACAACCAACGGTTCTATATTTTACTTTTCATAATGATAACGGTTTAATTCTCTGAAGGTAAGTCCTGAATTTGGGAAATTGATTTAGATAGATCGTAGTTCAGACAACTTTGCGAACCACTGATCTAGTTTGTACCTAAGTAGCAGTAGCAGATATTGTTCAGTAGACACCTAAGCATACCAGTTTTGGACCTAGGAGACAGAAGGATTTATAAGTAAGCCGTTCGTTAAATTTCAATTAATGAATTAACGCCAGTTTACGATTAGGCTTTGTGAAGTTCCAAAATCTGTCTTATCCAAAATTGTCCTAGCAACAAGTCAATATTCATATTTATATATTCAACTTCCAGGAACCAGGCAGATATTGTAATAATAACGATAGAAAATCTGATACCGCCCCAAATAACCGTGTGATTTCAACGCAAACAAATGAAATAAGATTCTTCCTCAAAATGAAATTGACTTCGTAAACATTATTTTATGTAAACACGTAGGTATTATTTTCTGTGGACCGAAATACTGAACATCGTAAGCCCTTAAAATAATATCAGCTTATAGGGAAAATTACTTTTTTTCTCAATGTTTAATTGAAAATGTAAGTCAGGATTTGTTAATATCATATTTCGCGTTATTGAAAATATGAAATTTATTTTCTGCGTCTACTTATTATTCATTTTTATTTTTATCTGTGATCGATAGGAAAATGAGGAAAAGGTTCTGAAGTCTTAAGTTCGTATCAGATCACTAAAAACTTTGTTTCTTTAATAAATTGAATAACCTTATTACAATAAATTACTTACAGAAAATCTGGCTTGTGTAAATTCTCAGTCAGCTGCTTAACTATAGGTACAGTATATACATATTATAATAGGCTTCCATCTTTTGGTCCCACACCATTATTCATCGTGCAATACTTTTCTATAACATATCATTTTTCTTTCACATTTCAGAACACGAGTTCATCAAAACCTCGTATAATTAACATCGCCAGTCACTGTGGCTTGCGTCCGTTGCCTGGTTTCGCAGCGTACAGCGCCAGCAAGGCAGGTGTGATAGCCTTAACTAAAGCTTTGAGGCTGGAACATCGCAGACATGGATTGAGTGCTGTCGCTTTTATACCTGGTAAGTTCTAGAATTGAGAGCTTCGAAGGTGACCACCAGCTGTTTGATTACGCCATCATTATTAGGGGATGGTACCCATGAAACGATGACGTAATTAAACAGTTTCCTATATGGTCCACAACACTAAGATAGCACGAGGGGTTTAGAAAATAAATGTGAGTGTTAGGTACTTTTCTTGGTTAACTCTTTTTATTTCCTCATAGAATCTTCTTTCTACTTTTATTCCAACTTACTCCAGCACAATAGGTACCGAAGTCTTCTTTTTATCTATTCTTTGGTCGCCCTCTTCTTTTTCTTTCTTAAAGCACGTTATTGTTTTGAAAACTATTCGTTCCGGTCATATCATAGATTTTAAATATATTTCTGTAGGTCATACGGAACCTTTCGTATTACGACCGGTTTTTGTGAATCGAGGACGAACAATGGTCACAGCTGTGCACTCCCATGCAAAATGGTTGAATTTACTATACCTATGACATTTAGCTGAAAATTCAGCAGGGATTAAAAATCAACGTGATAAAGTTGATTAGTCTTTCCTGGAAAATAAAATAGCTATTTTACTGAGATTACGAGCACCCTGCATAGGGCTTCGTGCCACCTTTAGGTACCTGGTCGTCTGTCCAGCATACACTTACTTATACCTGCCGAATCTACCTAAATCATTTTTACATGTTTTCAGGTGGCTTCGTCAGTTCCAGTAACATAATAGCTAACCAAGGACAACAAGGACAAAACATGCTCGAACATTTGAATGAGGAACAGAAATCTTTTTACGGGCAAAGAATAACAACACTCTCAAATTATCTTCAGTTGGCGACGGCTCATGATCCAAGATATGATTCTATGAAAGACGAGAATATTATTGAAACATACGTCAAAGCTTTGACTGACGATGATCCTAAACAAATGTATAAAGTTGAATCATGGAGATACTTTTTTTACTACAATCTTTTCAAATTGCCTCTGCCAGAAGCCGTTATTGCCTGGCTTGTTAAAAAGTTTCTGTGTTTTCCCGAATAATTTTTAAAATTAGAATTTCATAAATATCTACGTACCTATTGTGTTAAACTGTTATTTAGATGAATGCACATTGTATTGTATCTGTACATGTACAAGCAATACAGGTAGATTAACTTCAGGATCAGCTATTGTTTAGTTGTAAGTGCAATTCTTTTTTAATATTGTTAATGGTTTTCTAATCATTTTATGTCATTTTATGCATCAAAATGATTTTCTATTTGTTACGTATAAAAGTCCCTATTAATTAATAATGTAAGTTTAAGCAATGATTTTTATTGTAATGATTGAATTTACCTTTGTATTTTACTAAAATAAAAAATTGATTACTGTGCAGCACTTATTTATACCAAATTGGTTTTTGGTCTAGCACTTAATTAGGTATAGTTAAGCTACTAATTGCATAGTTACAGCATCAGCAGTCGCATGTTTATTATTATTATTAAAAAAATGTACTAAAACAAGAGAGACAGAAGATCCATCACACATTATGGTGCAATGATAAAGAGATTCACATTCTAAGATACTGGACGACGACGGAACGAATCATGTGCTTTTAAGCATGATACATGCAACAGAAAATAATCTGGGATGTTGTTTAAAATATAATTTGTAGTTATTTTACTAACACTAATTAAAAATGGTATAATAAAATTCCAAACTGTTTACATCATGGTTTACCCTAGATTTTGATATACAATTAATATTAACTATAACTTAATGAAAATATATACAACTTAAAATATAAATAACTATGAACTAAAATATTTACACCTTAAAAAAAAGGTAATAATAAATAAATAAGCTATAATAAGGCATCAAAAAAAAAATTTTCCTCATCATTATCGTGAGGTAGGGTGCCCAAAAGACTGGCAGCATTACCACGTTGAATGGCAATGCTTAACCTTTGTCCAAGGTAAAAGCCAGCCCTTCGATCACCTGAAGTGTCAACCATCCTCTTTACAATATCTTTGTAAAGAAGATGTGCACTTGGGCCCCACGGCCCTAAAGTTTCAACCCCAAACGGTTCGAAAGCATAATTGCCAATCAGGCTATCATACTTTCGCCGTTTGAGGTTCTCGGCAGCAGCAGCGGCAGCACCGGCTCGACACGCTGAGTTTGGAAGATGGGATGGCGCCAGAGTATCAACGCAAGTGGCGTCCCATACTAAAGGCCTACCCATCTTCCAAGGGAATAATGACATACCGTCGGGTCTCTTGCCATCGTTGCGTACCAAGCCATTAGGTTCTAAAGTAGCTGGCACGCCAACGGAGACAAGAGCTCGACGAATTATGTCATTAATACTCGCGTGTCGAGCAAAACGACCCGCACTACGGCTACACGACAAGCCGTGGTGTCCAAGGCTGTTGACATCTTCACCACAACGACAACGATGAGGTGAACAAAATGAAGCCCCAAGCCTTAAACAAATTGCAGCGCGGAATGTGGTGTCGTCCAACAAAGTACCTAAGTTGGACGAAGGCAAAGCAAGAAGCCATAACCCTGACTCCCACTCACCCACAGCCAAAAGGCGAGCTCGCTCTGCAGTTGAACAAGCGGAGTTCAATAGATTTTCGCTCACTTTCCTGCAGAGCGGCTCGTCCCATTGTCTCTGGGAGAGTGATTTGACGGGGGGGTCAATATTTGGGCAAGCGATTTTCCAAGCTTTCACAGCTTCCACTAAAAATGGTACATCAAAATTAACCAGTGATTGAGAAAGAATTTTCCTGGTTAATTCTTCAGTACCATGGGCGGAAGATATGAAAGCTGGTAGGCTTACACTGGAAATTTTACGGACGCCAAGCCCACCCATGCGGACAGGCAGAGTAGCTTGTGTCCAGGCTCGGTCGTCGAGAGCCACATTCAAAATTAAGGATAAAGTTTGTCTAATGCTTCGGTCAATTTTTTCTAAAAGAAGGGGTGCAGACCAGAGGTGGGTCGAGCGCAAAAAATACATAAATTTGGGACCAAAACAACAAAAACGAATAATAGTATAGGCCGAATGCATTCTAATGTGATACAGTCTTTCTGAAACGACAGAAAAATTTTGAATTTTTTCATCAATAAAACTTTGAAAAGAGTCCTCGAAGACGGGCGCACCTAGGAGGCGAAGCGAACATTTATCGACAACCGAGATATTAGGCGCAAAAGTAGTAAATTTTGATATGATCTGTCTGTCGGTAGAGTCATGTAAAAATATCTCACACTTGGAATAATTTAGGTCAAGGCCAATAGCATGAAGTTCGTTTTTTAAAAATTGGAAATCATTTAAAACTGTATCTGCATCGCCTCCCAGGGTACCGTCATCGAGGTACCACACATTAAATTTAGAATTTAGCTGTCGTATAATAGGATTAATGGCCAGGCTAAAAATCACTGGCCCAAGGGGATCGCCTTGTTGACAGCCAACGGCTGATTCCAAAAGGTTATCCTGATATAATAATTTTGTAGGGTGTCTATAACATTGCCAGAGAAAACTAAAAATTTGGGGTACTTCCTTTTTAACTTCTGTAAATTCTTCTTCTTCTTCTTCATACAGATTTTGATTGTATAGTCTACGCTGAAAACTAAACGTTTGACAGTAACAAAACCAACCGTTGCCTGACAGATTGATCTTTTGACAGATTTTGCCAATAGTACTGGAAGGATTATCACTTTTTCTTCTTATTCATCAAATAAATAGTGAAAAAGTTCATTTATTGTGAATTCTTAAAAGGATTAATTAGTACAGAAAACATCTTCGTATAATTCAACTACATTCCTGTAAGATGGAGGTGGTGTTCGGTCCGAATTCGGTTGACGAACCGGTACGTACACCTTTGTTATTTCACAACTCGAAACACATTGATTTGAACTAGCTGATATTATTAGTTATTGTATTGATATTTATGCAAGAAATTACCTACTCTAGCTCACTCTAAAGGCTCGCAACATTTCTCCTTGTAGGTTATATGTAGGTTATTTTTGTTGTGATCAAATTGTTATAGTAACTCAGAATTACTTATTATTTCCTAGATATTATTTAAAAAAAACTTGTAGGAAATATTACCTTTCAAAGTTACTAGTTTTGTTTTCAATTATTTAATATGATGCACTATCTTAAATCTATAAATAATTGCACAATCTATTGTTATAATCTATCAATCTACTGTCAAGTTTTTGCATGTCCTTTGTAGTCGCATAACGACACGAAATTAATCATGTAATGTTGATTTTTGGAGAGAAAGTAAAAGATTTGTAGACCAGTCATTGTAAATATGTAACTTACCAGTTTTAAAAACTACAATACACTTCTACAAACAGTAATAAACACATAAAACAGTACATACAAAGATTTTCTTGCCACTCCACAATTATTTTCTTGTTAGCATTGTTCTCCTTTAATCTGTTTTGATTTGGAATCATTAGCAAGGGTTGTGTTTTGATTGTTTGTTCTAACTTAGAATCATTTTTGAAAATTGTGATTTAGTTTTGTTAAAGTATTTGCATGCCTAATTTATAGGCGAGATATGATGAACTAATGTTATGTCATAAAATCTGTAAATCACCATATTTCAGGCAAATAAATGAATCTATCTATCTATCGCCTTTTTTTATTTTAAACATTTTGGGTAGATCAAACATGTATAAGAAATACAAAATGTTAACAGAGACATCTAGTGTTAAGGACTCTAGCCCAGCTCCCTGAGCACTGGGTTCATGCATACATAGAAGCTACTACTAATATTTTTGGTTTCTAATTTCCAATTAAATATATCTAAAAACTTAAAATATACCTTTATAGAAATTTATAACATTCACTCTTATTTTCCAGAACCTGCAATATAAACTACAACGTAAAATCAAAGTGTTTAATACTACTGATCCACTACCAAACCGAGGATACAACTTAGTTGCTTGTGCCAGCAAATATGGTATTGTTTTTGTAGCTTCACCTGATGGGCATCTGACAGGTAAATTTAATTTTTGTTTTTACTTATATACTGATATAATTATGAAGTAATCTTTTTAACATAAACATAGGAAGTGTTGAGTAAGATAAGGAAGAAGTGAAGGAAGTGAAATAACATAACATCCCGCCTTTTATCCCCGAAGGGGTAGGCAGAGTTGCACATTGCCTACGGCACTTAATGCCAGTGTCCAATGTAACACCCAGCTTTCACTATTTATGTTATGAGTGTTATGAGTGTTATCCCATGTAATAGGGAGTGAGCCTATTGCCATATACCGGGCGCATTTCCAGACTCCGTGCTACTACTGAGATTTAACTGAAGGAGGTGTTAGGAAGTTATAACAAACCATCCTATCCAAATGAGATTCAAAGATTCAACAATGAACAGTCTAGACAGACTATGCTGTCTCAGGTCTACTGGAAGAAATTCCAACAGGAATAATTAGCACCTATGTACTCCAATTTGATATAATTATGTGTTGTTCTCTGTGCTGTTTGTGTGTACAATTATTAAATAAATAAAGGAACAATCACAGACTCAGTTACTTATGATTGATATTAATTTGTTAAGTAATTGTCCAAACTTATATCTGTACTAACTTAAAACTAATGTACCTAGGTTAAGGACATTGATAGTAATTGTCCAAACTTATATCTGTACTAACTTAAAACTAATGTACCTAGGTTAAGGACATTGATAGTAATTGTCCAAACTTATATCTGTACTAACTTAAAACTAATGTACCTAGGTTAAGGACATTGATAAAAAGACGTGCACCATGTCTTGAAACAACAACTGAGGCATCTGGTTACGTAACACTTACACGCAGAACATTCACACATTGACATGAACAACATCTGTCATTTTCATAAGTTGGGTAGTGTGGTAACCCATTACACACATAATACATTTTAGTGCTTCAATCATTTCTAAGTGACATTATGTCTGCCTTTTTTTAACGTCCTTGATGTAGATTATAAATGTAATTAAGACTTATATTACATCTGCTTTGTGATTTAACATAGACTAAAGATTATTGGAAACATATTGATCTAAGTAAACCTCCGAAACTTTTTCTCATGAAAAAGCTTGTACAGTTATATTCTAGAACTTCATTTCTACACAACCATCACCACTCGACACTGGCAGTATAGTTGACAACAGCAGATTGGAGCCTCAGTTTGCCAAAGAAGAAAAAAAAAACATTTTTACAGTTACTACTTTTCATTATTATGTACTTTTTCTTAACAGTATATCACCTACAACAACTGATTGACAAAGAGTGTGAGCCGCAGCATACCACTGTGAAGTTACAAGAGAAACCAACCCACATAGCTACAAGCTGCGACCAGGAACTGCTGGCAGTAACTGGCGGGCAACTACTGTGCATCTTTAAAGTCACCGACTTCCAAAATCCAGTATGTGTTTATTTATTTAATTGTTATTTTATACATGGTAATGAGAAGGTATTAACTTTTCCATATTTTATTCCGTTTTAAGACGGCAACCATATAAATGACAAAAATTATTAAGTACCAAAGCTCTCACACATTTTGACCCTTTTTTCACCATGAATTAGTGGAATGAAGCGTTTACGATTACGTAACCCTACCATAAACCTGAGATTCATTAGTATAATACTAGCTGTTGCCCGCTACTTCGTCCACATACAATATCAATTGTAATTGTAATACAAAACATTTTTTTTTTAATTTTCCAAAATAAAAGTAGCCCATGTTACTCCTTAATACATTATACGTTACAGTAAAAGTCCCGTCAAAATCGGTCTAGCCATTCCAGAGATTTACCCGTCCAAACCGACAGATAGACATACAAAAATGATAAAAAAAATTTCTTCATATGCATACAATAATATTTTATTTAATACTAGCTGACCCGGCAAACTTCGTAGTGCCTGAAACTTTTTTCTCACCTTTTCAACCTTCCCTGGTCTTCTACGAACATTTCAAGACTAAAATTAGCCAAATCGGTTCAGCCGAAATTCGTTTTTATTTATATAGATTAAAAACAGGCATCCCAGTTTTATTTATCTGTTTAGATGTAAAAAATATTATAAAGTTAGCAAACAGTTTTTGTCCAAAATAATGTAATTTTTTTCTTTTTCCAGAATGTAGCACCAGCCCTAACAATAAGATGTGAAGTCAACCCATCCACCTTTGTGTCAGCTTTACAATGGAACCCTTGTATTCCTGATACCATCGCCATAGCCTTCTACGACGGTACCCTTCTTGTGGCACAGGCCAGCACATCACAAGTTGTGAAGGCTGCTTCTAAAGCAAGGTAATAAAGTTCTTAAACTTAAAACCTTTTTGTCTTTGATCGCCAATAGAAAAATGGTGACTGACTCGAGCAGTAAATGGATACCACCCGCGCTAGTCTAGTATTATTCCATATATATTTATTTTACTAAAAAGAATATGACAATCAAGATTTTAAGCTATTTCTAAATGGTATAAACATCATGGTATTGCATTTCCACACTCTTCTATGTTGACCACAACTGTTCAATCCCCAAGCTGTCACCGGTGACTCCACTAACTCCGTTTATAGACATTATTTCCGATGTTTAGGGACTACTTTTCTATGAACAAATTTTGTGGATTTTCGGTACGATTTCTCAACGTATTAAAACTTGATGTATTAACTTCAACTACCGATTAAAACATCGCTGACCGTTTTCATTTTCTGCATTCTCCTGTGTCCAACTAAAGAGTTGAGGTTTTGTGTGCAAACCTTTAATCCAAATTTCATTTCACAGATGCCTCTGCTGGAGTCCTAAAGGCAAGCAGTTTGTGACAGGCAACAGTGATGGTACTCTCACTCAGTACAAACCGGACTTAACTCCAGCTAAGACCATTCCTGCTCCCAATTTGTTTGCAAATGCGCCCGTGGAAGCATTAGCGGTTTACTGGATTTCAACCTTCCAGTTTGTTGCGGTCTATAAAAATGCTACGGATAATAGTCGCCCTGGTAAATATCTTTTAATTTTTTTTACGTCATCTAAAGTAAAGAATACTGTCAATGTCAAAGTTCTTAGTTTGATTATTTGTACCGAGCTTCGTAATTTAACTCGTTGAGTACCGTCATTATAGACACAATTAAAGAACAATAGGTTGCGGTCTCCGGTGACTGCTTGGTGTTTGACAGTTTAAAATTATATTCTTGTGGTAATAGTTGTAATAGAAAGGTACTAAGATCCTTTATCCATTATCAATCCTTTATCATTCACCCTTTTGCTTCCTATTCTATAAAAACAAAATAAAATTCCTATGTAAATACTACCTTCAATACCATAATATTTTTATGTGTAACTAGACTTCTCGCCTTAAGCCTTTGACTGCCGACAGAAAACTGTTGAAGGCAAATCCTCCGCTAACGTACGTATGTAACGTACGTACGTTCACCGGTGACCTACGTGGCGGTAAACGTGTTTGAATGTACAATCAACAACTTTGTTTTATGACCCATCCTGAGCTAATAGGAACTAATCCTACTGGAACCAAATTTGGTCTTTGTTATTCTGACAATTTATCGCCAATTTTTTTTAATGTAGGTACTATCGACGTATTCGAACAATGACCCACTTATTTCAATTTCACTAACATACTCTCTAAACTCAAGTAAGTAAAATTTTCTCTCAAACTCGGACTCCTTATGTTTTTCCAGCTGTAACTATCATAAATACGCCAAAAGCTGGCAAACCCAGCTGTCAAAACTACGAAGATATTTGCTACAGTATGGGCTCCAATAGACCTTGGTACTACTACTTGCAAGGATTAGCGCAATGGTAAGAAAATAATACATTTCTAAATTATGAATGTGATTCTCACCCTTACATTTTACAAAACAAAGTCACTTTTTTATCGAGCTACTGATATTTTATGCTTATAATTTGTTTTTATTTATGATGCATATTTTACTGCCTCGGTGGCCGAGTGGTCGCAAGTGGGACTGCTAGGCAAGCGGTCTCGGGTTCGATTCCCGGGTCGGGCAAAGCATTAATGAGTTTAAAAAAAATTCTCAGTAGTAGCACGAAGTCTAGAATTGTGCTCGGTATATGGCAATAGGCTCACCCTCTATTACGTGGAACTCATAACATAAATAGTGAAAAGTGGGTGTTACATTGTACAGTCTCATTCAGTGCCGTAATGTGCACCTTTGCCTACCCCTTCAGGGACAATACTGCCTCTAATTTGCTGAAATAGACTTTTGAGTTAATGGCAATGCTTGTCACTAATGCATCTCATTATGAAAAATATTTTTTCTTCTTTATCATCAGGAATATTATAATGTCGGCATCGTCCAATGGCATGGAAATAGCGACTCTTGGGTCTGCAGATGGAACTAATTGGGTGCAGTGGTGTCAGGTAATAATAATAATTACAATATCTTTGGATTACTTTCTACATGCCTCGTTGGCCGAGTGGTCGCAAGTGCGACTGCCGGGCAAGGGATCTCGGGTTCGATTCGCGAGTCGGGCAAACTATTACTGGATTTTATAAAAAAAATCTCAGTAATAGCATGGAGACTAGAAATGTGCCCGGTATATGGCAATAGCCTTAATAACCTTCTAATACATGGGACTCATAACATAAATTGTGAAAAGTGGGTGTTGTGTTATATTATACAGTGACATTAAGTGCCGTAATGTGCACTTCTGCCATGAAAAGGCGTGATGTTATGTTACTTTCTATTCATCTCTCTCACTCAGTAGCAGTCTCTAACAGTATCTCGAGCAGTATTCACTCAGCTTTAATGAATTTTCAGATTGATGAAGCGAGGCCGGAGCTGCCTCTAACGGATAAGAAACAGGAGAACTACCCTGTAGGCGTTTGTATTGACACATGTGCTACACATCAAATACAGTGGGGTATGTATTGAAATATTGCTTTAACTTATGATGCCTCTGTCGCGGAAAACCTAACGGGTTACCGGGACTCCAGTTCGAATAGCAGGAGAAGGAACGGGGTGGTTTTTAGTCAGTAAGAGTCTGACACTCCATCCCGCCTCACCCGGGCGGGAGCGGACATTCGATGATTTTCCCGCATTAAAAAAAAGTGCTGCAGGCTACGGTGAATGTTTATCATCTGATAGCCTGAAAGCTGTGCTGCTAACTTTAGTAATTTTATTGCAATTTGTCTACTGCTCACCATTAGAGCGCGGATTTATAAAAATGTGAAATTCTGAAAATGATCAATGTCATCTTTATTGACTTTTGTCGTAATACGCCTTCGATCAACAATAGCAACTAGATAAAGGGTTACGTACAAAATCAAGCTCCAGTTCTGTCCGTGTGAATAATAATAGTAAAACGATAACAAACAGAGAAAAATGTTTTAAAATAGTTTTAAGTTCAACCTAATAACAACCATGGCACCTAATAATAAAGTCATAAATCGTCAAAATATTATCTAATACTTACGACCATTCGTCATATAAGACGAGAAAAACATTTTCTTACTCCTGTCATGTAAAAATTAAAAGACATAAGTTATTTAATATCTAGTTTGAATACAACCTTAAGCTAGAACAAATAAAGATAATTTTTCCGGTATTACCTTGCGATGTTATATCGTTTTGTTTTGTTTCGTTTTGGTTTTTCGAATTTCGAATTTCGCTACAGGAGGTATGTATGGAGTAGCGTTGAACACTAAAATAATTTTATAAATTATGAAAATTAATATTTCGGGATCTTAGTATACATCACTTATTTTTATTAGCGGTACGTTTTTGTGTACGATATGTTTATTTGCTTTATTATTAAAAGTTTAAGTCTCAATCAAAATCATTTATTTCAGTTAGACCACGAAGGCACTTTTGAACGTCAATAATATAAATTTAAAAGTGAACTATTTGCTCATTCCAAGGTGTAGATTCCTATGGAGATGAACGAGCAAGAAACTCCATAGGTTAGGTACTCTTTTCCAATCAGGTTACAATACAATTTTATTTTACAATACAAATCGACTCCATGCATCCACTGTTCTGTTTAAACAAATGTTTGTGCGCATGTTGGCGATGCTTGGCCAAGGCGTCGCCAACATACGCACAAACATTGGTGGTGTTGTTTTATAATTGGTAATTTTGTCTAATTTGATATTATTTACTAGTTTAAAAGCTTAAAATATAACGTATACTTTATGGACATATCGTAAGTAAGACACTCCGGCCGTTATAGTGCTTTTTCGGTTATTATTTTTCCAAATTGCAATTACGCACTGCGGCATCGTAAGACGTGAGCACGTTGGCCGTGTTTGGAGCATACTAAACAAAATAAGAGCTCACTTCTCAAGTGAGCTCTTATTTGTCGAGACGATTTTCTTGCGCCGACCCGATATCTAGTTGTTATTGTTGATCGAAGTAATACGCGCTAATAATTATATAACCGTGATCAGCATTTCTGAACATTGTAAACTTATTAATTAATTCAATTCAGTAGCAATAAAACTATCTAAGACATTGGTCGTATTCTCATCTAACATAAACACATTTCAACATAAACTAACAAACAACACTGTATGGACTTACAACCCCATAATGGATGAAAAATTACTAATTGTGTAAATTATTCTTTTTCTGTAGATGAAACCAACTTACTACCGCACATGCCACTCCTCCACGTGGTGTCTCAGACCGGTCTGCTGTCAGTCTTCAACATAATCTCCCTCAACAAGCAAGCGACACAGGTCTGCTCGCCTCCGCAACAACTTGTACTTCCTGCAGCCGCTATGACAAGGTGAGACACTATCTGTGATTATTTATTTATAGTTTTACCTATGTGAGAAATAGACAAAACTTACGTAGGGTAACAGGCTACTGAACGATCTTACAGCACAGTTTGTTGTCATCGGGCTGGAAACTTTAACGTAACGTATTTTTACATGTTTTATAATTTACTAGCAACCCACCCCGGCTTCGCACGGATGCAATATGCATGTATTATATATATAAACCTTCGTTAAGAATAACTATCTATTTTAAAAAAAATCGCATCAAAATCCGTAGTGTAGTTTTGAAGATCTAAGCATACATATGGACAGACAGACGGCGGATAGCGACTTTGTTTTATACTATAAATTGACTGTATCTCATTCCTTCCCTTCCTCTCTCCGAAAGAATGAACTTACTATAGACAGGTAGCAATGACAGCAAGATGTCTGCACAATGATAATGTGGATGATTTTATCAACGTTTTGATATAACTAATTCCAATGTATTGTACGTGTACAGTGCGATACCAGGAGAAGCTCCTCAAGCTGCCCCGACGCCCGCGCCAGCTCCGGCCCCCGCCCCTGTTGCACCTGCACAGCCAAAGGTAAGATGTACAAAAATGAATATTAATACATTGGCTGCCGTGTCGGACAGTGATGTCCGACGTTAGCGGAGTTTATCGGCCTTTAAAGGCTTAAATTATTGTTCTATTATTTTTAAAGTTTATTTCAAAATCACACAGAAAAAAGGTCCCATTCACAAAAAAACAATATCAATCCTTTTATTCCCGAAAAGGTAGGCAGAGGTGCACATTACGGCACTTAATGCCACTGTACAATGTGATGTACGAGTCTCATGTAATAGGGGGTGAGCCTATTGCCATATACCGGGCACAATTCCAGTCTCCGTGCTACTACTAAGAATTAAAAAAAAAACAGTAATACTTTACCCGACCCGGGAATCGAACCCGACCCGAGACCCCTTACCCTGCAGTTGCACTTGCAACCACTTAATCAGTGGCAGGTGCCATTTAACAGCCATGAATATTACTTTTGAAGTAAAATTTTACAAAAGTGATATGTATCTATCTAAGTACTTATACAAACACTTATTTACAGCCTCTATTGCCCCAGCCACCACAAATGATGTCGCAGTTACAAGCCCAATTGTCTACACCCAGCCAACCAGCCCCACAGTTCAGTATACTTAACATACCAAAACCACCAAGTTACGCACAGTCTCAGTCGCAGTTATTTAGTACAACAGGTATGCAATCTTAATGTTTAGTAATAAAAATACTTTTCACTCGACTTCAAAATTCATTTAGATAAAACTAGCGACCCGCCCCGGCTTCGCACGGGTGCAATATGCATGTATTATACATATAAACCTTGCTTAAGAACCACTCTATCTATAAAAAAACCCACATCAAAATCCATTGCGTAGTTTTAAAGATCTAAGGATACATAGCGACCGACAGACGGCGGATAGCGACTTTGTTTTGTACTATGTAGTGATGCACCGAGAGTGGCTAAGTTCGCGGGTTACTCACGTAAAAATACTGAGAAAAGTCTACTGTCAGTAGGCTGACTGATCGACAGACTGACATTTTTTCTTTAATATTGTAATGTTTAAAAGTGCTTTCCTGATCTAATTGAAAGAAATGATTTTGACTTTGACTTTACTGCACGACATCGCCACGATCGCGCACGCTGCTCATGACTCTGTGGCTCGAAACTAGAAGAACTTTTTGTCAGTATATTCACGTGAGTAACCCGCGATTCTTACTTAATTTAGTATGTCTCACGATAATTGTTATAAAAACTGATAGTGATTCTATACTATTATATTCTTTTAATCTCTGGTATGTCGGAGCGTAGATATACGCGAGACACAATGCGTTGTCTATTGACTAGTCTCATATATCGACAGTCAAGAGGTCTACAAATAATAATAAACAAACGTCTCAAATTTCAAGGCACAGCTCCTGTCCAAACCATACCAAAACCGGCTCCAGTAGACGTAAAACCGACACCGGCACCTCAACCAACCGTTCAGGCAGCTGCGGTAAGTGGACAATTTTTGAAAATGAAGAATATGACCATCACATTGTAATATTGTAATAGTGGAAGATCCATGCTTCGGCACGAATGGGCCGGCTCGACCGGAGTGATACCACGGCCTCATAGAAAACCGACATGAAGCAACGCTTGCGTTGTGTTTCGTCGTGAGGTTACCAGAGGCCCAATTACCCTACCCTTCCCCAATCTGCCCAATCCCTGAATCCCCAACGATCCTCAAACTCCTAATCCCCAAAAGGCCGGTAACGCACTTGTAACGCCTCGGGTGTTCCAGGTGTCCATGGGCGACGCCGATTGCTTACCATCAGGTGATCCGTCTGCTCAATAACCGGACATGCCATAAAAAAAAATATTGATTCTAGTATTTAGATATCACATTTCCATCAACTTGTTTCATCCTCATCATCGTCAATAGCCCGTGGCAGTACATTACTAGACGATGGGCCGTCTCTAGAGGTATAAAAGAAGTGGTTTTCATATTGAAGAGTAAGTTTAATCTCGACGCTTGAGATGGAGTATCCAGAGAATCCTGAAGTTGCAGAGATCGCAAAGCGGTTTATTGGAAAATGGCGCTCTCGGATACATCTGTTTTTTATAAAACTTAGATAGAAAATATCCCTAAATTAATGTTTTTCCCAACAGCCACAAAGTCAGCCTGCGGCCCCCAAACCGCAACCGGCACTGGCGCACGAAAATGCCGCGATAAAAGCAGAACAAGATAAAATAAATGAAATGAAAGTCAACCAAGAGTTGAAAAATATGCTCGTCAAAGAAGTGAATGACTTTCAAATGGAACTGTACAAGTTTATGGTAAAAACTAAGGAAACTCAAGCTAGGGTGAGTGAATAAATAGTAATAAGTCACAATTCTATTAAATTAATAAGTTATTAAATGTAATTTATTTTATTCAATCTATTTTGAATTGACTGCAAGGTTGATGGTTGCCGTGCAAGGTATCGCGGGCTCGATTTCCGCATGGAACAACACATTTTGTAATCTACAAACTGTTATTTCGGGTCTAGGTGTCTAGGTGGTCAATGTAAACAACTTATCGTCAAAGTGGGTAATAAAGCAACTTCGTCGACTGTACATATTAGTTTATCTTTCAGTAAATAATAATTTTGAACCAACTCTGAATGACTAATTAAATTTTATAAATAATACTTTTCAACAGTTACAACGAGACATAGATTCAATCAACGCTAATTTCACCTACACGTCACAAGACGCGGAACAGTTGAGGAAGGAATGTTCCTCCGATGAACTGCGCAACGCCATCGTACAACTCAAGTTGGAACTAGTTCGCGCGTGCGCTGTTGTCGCTGAAGCTCGGACGCATGCTGAGTAAGTACTTAGTTATTATTTTTTTATAAAATATTGAGGAAAATAAGCAGATGGATCAGCTGCATGTAAGCAATCGACGCCACCTACGGACTCCCATATCACCAGAGGTGATACAAGTGCGTTGCCATCCTTTTGGATTACGTATATTGGGCCCCCGGCAACCTCATTTACACGACGAAACACAACGCAAGCGTTGTTTTACGCCAGGTTTTTGCGTGGCCGTGGTATCACTTCATTCAAGTCAGCCCATAATGTCCCTTTATATGTGAAAATAAACTCTAAAATATCGAAATAAATCAAGTATTAACTTCATCCGTGTTAAAGGACATCCTATCTTTATTAATTACTAGCTACTTCCGCGCGGTTTTACACGCTCTGCTCAGCTCCTATTGGTCTTAGCGTGATGTTTTATAGCCTATAGCCATCCTCGATAAATGACATACCAGATGCTATCCAACACAAAAATAATTATTCAAATCAGACTTGTAGATACGGAGATTAGCGCGTTCAAACAAAAAGAACAAACTCTTTCGATTTATATAATAGTTATTAGTTATATAATTTATTCTTGCAATAAAAATTACTTTTAGATCAAAAGACAGTTATCAATGGACGAAAGCAGATCCCCTGACAACAAAACGAGTGGCGTCTGTGAAGAAGTTGGCGTATTACGTACAAAATCAACTCGAGCAAGCGCAGAAATCACTCGACTTTAAGTGGAATGAAACTGTAGCTAAAGACCCGCAGTTTAGCAAGTAAGTTTATCATTATTTTGACTTTGACTTTGAAGAGCTGGTAAATGAAAGTGTACCTTTTTGCTTTGTATTAAAGATGGTTTTAGAATATAGCCATTTTTTGAGAAGTGTAAATGCACAACCTTTCAATAAAATTTTAAGTGGTATCAATTATGGTCTGTATTATTGTCATATTGAGAACTATAGGCAGTTTGAACTGGATGTTATGGATAAAATTATAATTTATTTGTAGTTAAATAATGTAAAAAATACCGTGTTTCTCAGGCCAGGTCAGCGTATGATTCGCCCAATCCTAGACGACGTATACCAACCACTAGTGAAACAACAAGAGATACTAAGTCGTCAACAAGCTGTATTACGAACTCTAAGGAATACGCTCAACGAGTGTGACGTCACGCCTATGTTCAAAACCAGCTCACTATTGAGAAGCACGCCGTTTAGGAACAAGTAAGTGACATTGTAATTCTGACTTCTTTTTAATGGCTTTAAGTCTTAAACTCGCTTGGCTTATATTCGGTGTGATTATATTGAACTGTTGTTAACAAGTTGCAACTTTATTTCAATGTAAATATGAGTTAAACTTGCTTGGCACAACCATATACAGAGTGTGATTATTTACAAAAGTTTTTAATTTACTTCCTCCTTATATTTTCTTACATTTTTGGCTTCGTGTTTAAATACATTGGCTGAACAAACGCTATTCAAAATTGTGTAGGTAGCTAAAAAAAAATAAACTCCACAGGGATCCCCTTTCAAAACTAACGAAGAATATCTTAAATATGAGTATTGATGCTACTGACAGTAAGAAGAAGGAACCGCTGCTATCTTCTCAGAAATTAGATGCTCTTAGAGATATGTTGTCTAACCATAAGACGGTTAAAATCAAGCCGGTTAATGTTGAAGTGAGACAGCACTTGGCTACAATGAGAATGAATTATGAAAAGAGTATGAAAGAGAAAGCACAGCCCATTAAGACTGAAGTCCCAAGCCCACAGCCTGATGTTAAACCTCTGGTTAAGCCGGGTAAGTAATTTTGTTGCTTTATTTTGGAATAGATTATGAAACCTCTAAAAGTAATTTTTTTTTACATAACATAACATCACGCCTTTTATCCCCGAAGGGGTAGGCAGAGGTGCACACAGAAGTAACACCCACTTTTCACTATTGCCTGAGTGAGCCTATTGCCATATACCGGGCACATTTCCAGACTTCGTGCTACTACTGAGAATTTTTTAAAAACCCAGTAATAAACCCAGTATTCTCTTCTGTGTCGTGGGTACGTTTACAAACATACAAGTTCACATACACATGACACCCAAACCCGTAACAACAATCTGTGGATCACACAAAGAATTGTTCCGTGCAGGAATTGAACCCGCGACACGTTACGCGGCAGGCAGTTGCCCAACCACCGCGCCAATCGTGCAAAATAACTGGTTATCTAAATAACAGTGATTTAACTTCAAAAGTAGTACATTTATAAACAAATAAGTGAAAAAAACGAATGTGTATTCAGACAAATGCATTCAAAACTAAACATTAATTTGGCTTTACTGCTCGGTGAGCTCAGAGACAGGATGACCTAATACTACGCAATTTGTCTCGAATTTACTTATGCGGATGACACTGCTTTAATAATATCAGGTGTAGATTGGTCCGAAGCAAAAGTAGTCGCAGAGACAAGTTTAAGAACTGTGATGCTTTGGTTGCAGGACAGTCTATTAACTTTAAACGTAGACAAAACCAAATTCTTCACTTTTGCAAATAAAATCTCTCAAATGCCACCCTTGACTTACTGTCTTGCGGCACACACGTGCACGCAGAGCCCAACCATTAAAAATGGAAATTGTGACTGTGCAGTTATCCAAAGAACAACAGATATTAAATACCTAGGCGTTGAAATAGATTCACAGCTAAAGTGGCACACACATATTCAAAAACTAACAGCTCGGTTAAGAAAGCTTATTTACATTTCCAAAAAACTTCGATCATCAACAGACGAAGATACTCTCAAATTGATTTACTTTTCATTATGCCAATCGCTCCTGTCTTACTGTGTGACAGCCTGGGGTGGTGCGGGCAAAGTCGCAGTCTTGGATCTGGAGAGAGCACAGAGGGCTGTTCTCAGAGTAATGGCCTCGAAGCCTTTTAGGTATCCTACAAACGAACTGTATAAAGAATGTCGAGTACTCACGGTGAGACAGCTCTATGTTCTCTGCACCATCATGAGGAAACATAGTTCGCTGCCATATGATCCAAAATGGTCCCAGAAAAATAGAAAAACCAAACCAATTTGTGAACCAATTCCACACAGAACGGCCTCAGCCGGCCGTCAATATACTGTAATGAGCTCACGTCTTTATAACAAAGCACACAAAATCAATCACATCTATTCCTTAACACGCAGGCAAGCAAAATCGAAAATCACATGTTGGCTTCAGACACTAACCTATGATGAAACAGAACAATTGTTAAACAAACTAGTCTGAATAATTAAATACTCACGCGTAAAGTTAGTACATAGATAGCAAACATATACATACATACACACTCTCACACACACCTTCACATACACTAACACACACACCCACATACATCATCCTTAATTATCTCTTTTGGTAATACTCACTTTCTTTTTCTCTTTTTATATCTTTATGTCACTTAACACAATATTTGAGAGAATAATTAGAAATATAAGCATTCATAATTTTGTAATACTCAACGAGGGAACACTGACCCCCAAAATACAGGATCACCTAGTTTGGGAGGCAGCGATTTCATAAATTGTAAGCTGTAATTGTATGCCTATACCTAAAATCAAATATTGTAACTCGCTTGTTTTTAGTAAATAAAGATTTTTATTATTATTATTATAAGTATGTTTAAGGTTCAAACCTCACCCATTTCTGGGGAACTACACCAAAATTGCGGGCTTTTGGCCAAAGCAACTTTGGGGATGAAATAATATGTGGTAAATTAATCTATAGATAAAAACTTCCTAACTATTCTGCATGTATTGAGTATGACTGCTTTCTGTAGGAGATTATTATTATTATTAAATTTCATTCACACACGGAATAATTTTGTGCAATCCACAACATGCTGTTTCTGGTCTAGATGTGATTTGATAAAAGGGGCCGTCCATAAACTACGTCCCACGTTAAGGGGTGAGGGAGGGGGTCGACGAAGTGTGACTGTGTGTGACAAGGAGGAGAGAGGGATCCTAAACTTAATGATGTCACATTTCAAAAACTACTATAAAACAAGAAATATAATTGTATTAATGTTTTTTTATCTTGTTTTACTTGGTATTAATATTTTTTAAAGTAATTCAAATACAAATCAAACTGATTTCGGAATCGCTGTATTTATTCAATAATTTTTATACATACGTAATTCTGCAAAATGTGACATCACCCCTGGGGGGGGACGTCTCACAATTGTGACAAAGGACGGCTGGAGGGGTACAAAATCATGAAATTCATGTGGCGTAATTTATGGATGACCCCTAAGGAACATATTGACACATTTATGTAATGTAATTATCTTTTTTAGTTCAACAACAACTGTTTGCGATGCCTAAAGTCGAACCCAAGTTGGAACTGAAACAGGAGCCCTTCAAACCGGCGCCTCTCAACGTGCCATCGTTTACCCCGGTCGGTGGAGTGAAACCCTCCATCCCTGGGTTGACCAACGTTGCTCGAACACTGTTTACTGATGGTAAGTAATTAGACAAACCGGCAAACGAGCTTACGGATCACCTGATGGGAAGCAATAGGCGATAGGTGACCCATGGACACATGATTACGAATTTGATGATTGTAGGGGATTCAGGGATTGGAGAAGAGGCCCCCCCCCTCGGGTGTAAGGGGGGGGGGGAATCATCCAATGACTTCTCCCACCTGGGTGAGGCAGGAGAGAGTGTCAGATTCTTACTGACTAAAAACGAACCTGTTCCTACTCATGCACTTCGAGCCGGAGCCCCGGTAACCAGTTAGGTTCTCCGCGACTAAGGTGGAGGGGTAGGGGGTAGTTGGGTCTCCGGTAAACTCACTGACACGACGAAACACAACGCAAACGTTTTTCCACGTCGTCGGTTTTCTAAGACGCCGTGGTATCACACCGGTCGAGCCGGTCCATTCGTGCCGAAGCATGGCTCTCCCACACTTAAAACTATTTAAATCGTTATGCTGTACTCTATAACTAAAAAATTTAAAAACTGCAGAAGCAAAATTTGAATGTGATGTAAAGTACATAATTATTATGGCACTGTAGTGTATCATACACACTCAAATTATTGCTGCCGTATTTTACTTGAACTAACTGCTATCTGCATATCACGATCACAATTAATATGCGTGCTAACGAAATTCTGACAAAATGAAGTTACTATAATAATACCATCACGCCTTTTATTCCAAAGGTTTAGGCAGAGGTGCACATTATGCCGCTGTACAATGTAACACCCACTTTTCACTATTTATGTTATGAGTCCCATGTAATAGGGTGTGAGCCTATTGCCATATACCGGGCACAATTCCAGACTCCGTGCTACCACTGATTTTTTTTTTTAATCCCAGTAATACTTTGCCCGACCCGGGAATCGAACCCGAGACCCCTTGCCCGGCTACCACCACCTTACCACTCGGCCAACGAGGCAGTTAGTTACTATAATTGGGGCAAAACTAATCTCCCTGTTATTACTAGAATTCAAAAGTAGTGAACAGACCTCACACGACATTAGCATCATTTATTTAGTAATAAATCGATAACCTTCATCTATTTGATCGTGTAACATATATACTTTTATTTTTAGAACCTAAACCAGAACCACCAAAACCTCAACCGCAACTGGCCCAGCCGAAGCCTGCAGCCCCTGCCTTTGCATTCTCCAATAGACCTGCATCAGCTGAGACGCGCAGTGTTCTGAAAGACCTCCTACAAAGTAAACAGACGACTAAAAACGATAGTAATAACTTATTCATGGGACAGAAAATATGTTCACCGTCTTCGTTTTCGTGTAAGTTATTTTAATTTTTTTATTTATATCTCGTCATGTAACTAGAAAGATAGTTTTAGAATAATTTTGTCATGAAAATAAGCCAATAACTTACGACTTACAGTTAACATTAGTGAATCCCTAAATTATAATATAAAAATTGTTTTGCTTTTTTCCTCCTTAATTTGCTGTCTAATATCACTTTGTATACTTTTTCGGACCACACCATATTCAGTATTGTAATCTAAAAATATTTTATTTTAGCGACAACAACCGCACCAACATCAGCACCTGCTCCAACACCAGCGTTTACATCTAAACCCATTGCTGACATTAACAACATGTTCAGTAAATTCCAACCCCCGACATTAGCACAAGACAATAAACAAACTTTAGCTTCAGAACCTAAGCCCCAATCATTAGTACCAGAACCTAAGCCCCAACCGTTAGTAGCACAACCGAAACTTCCATCTCTAACCGCTGAACCAAAACCTTTCGCTCCAAAACCTGAATCAACCTCAATATTCGCAAGTCCCAAGTCAAGTGAGACTGGAGAGCCAGAAACTGACAGTAAACCAGCCGTAGTTAAATCATCGACTATCAACAAACCACTTACAAATCTATTTCAACTTAAAACTTCAACACCTGCTCCAAGTCCTATTGTTCCTGACGTCATAAAAACTACTACAGAAGTAAAGGCTGATGCTAAACCCGCTGAGAAAGAAAAGTCTAAAGAAAATGTTCCTCAAAATGTAGAAAATAAAATTGCACCGAAACCTGTTAGTGAAAATAAAGAAGCTCCTAAGCCTTTGACTGCACAAACTGCTAATAGGACGTCGATATTTGGTTCGGCACCTCAAGCGGTTGCTGCAAGTACCCCTATTACCAGTCAAAGTAAGATTTTTATTAAATTACTACTTCTAGTATATTAAACTGTCAAACACCAAGCGGTCACCGGTGACCGCAACCTATTGTTCTATAATTGTGTCTACAAAACCGGTACTCGACGAGTTAATAACCTTGTATAAAAATGTATTTTAACGAAATTTCCAGGTGAACCACAAAAATCTGTGGAATCAAAAGGAGATTCTTTCAAAGTACCTGAAAAGATCGTTTCATCTTCTTCTAATGTTTCTTCAATATTTGGTAGCACCAATGTTACAGCTCCTACTGGTAATATATCTTAGAATAACTTTCTTTAACCTTAATTAATTAGAGTTTCCAAAGTACTTTAACCTTAATTAATTTTTTATTCTCAGAAACCAAATCTCAGACCAGTGTCACACCTGAACAACCAACTTCGAAATCAGATACGCCAACAACAGAATCGGCATCTATTGCTTCAAAACCTACACTTAATATTGCTGCAGCTTCTTCTACACCTTCCGCCGCTTCTGTATTTGGAGCAGCGGTGGCTTCACAATCAAAACCTTCAACTCCAACATCCATATTTGCTACAGGTACATCTTCGCAAGGATCAATATTTGGAAGCACATCGCCTACATCTACAATAACTGCTCCAGTGTTTGGTTCTACAGCTCAATCAGTATTTGGTAGTGCTAATAGTACAACCAAACCTTCAGTGTTCAGTACGCCTGCACCTGCATCGACTGAGGCTCCGTCATCACCTCAGTCGGTATTCAGTTCAGCTGCAGCTTCAACAACTCAAGCGGGTTCCGTATTTGGATCTTCCTTCACACCATCTCCTGTTTTCGGTTCGACTGCAACTACTTCAGCTGCACCAGGCTCGCCATCTTCAGTCTTTGGATCTTCAACTACACAATCCGTGTTTGGTTCTACGTTAACCACACAAGCTTCTGCATTCGGCGCGTCAACTACTACAACTCAATCTGTTTTTGGGACAGCCACTACGACGACACAATCATCTATGTTTGGCAATGCAGCTTCAAGTGCTACTAGTGCATTTACATCGACGGCTACACCGTCTTCGGGTGCACAGAGCATATTTGGTGCAGCAGCTAGTACGACTGCGCAGTCTGTATTTGGAGGGCAAGGAACTTCTATTTTTGGATCAGCACCGCCTAACAAGACTGTGTTCGGAACAGCCACAACTCAAGCTTCTGTCTTCGGTGCGGCAACCGCTACTACTCAGTCATCAGTGTTTGGATCTCCTACACCGACTACTCAAGCTTCAGTTTTTGGGACTGCACCAACTACTCAGGCATCAGTTTTCGGAAGTGCGCCGACTACACAAGCGGCGGTGTTTGGGAGTGCTCCAACTAGTCAAACATCTGTGTTCGGCACTGCGCCAACAACTCAAGCATCGGTATTTGGTAGCACGCCGACTACTCAAGCTTCAGTATTTGGTACTCCGCCTACTACAACAGCTCAGAGTTCTCTCTTCGGTGGTGGTGAAGCCAATTTGTTTGCGGCGGCCAGTATATCTACAACCAGCGCTCCTTCACAGACCAGTGGCGGCAGTATCTTCGGAGGAGGGTAAGAATATATACAGTTACTTCTTTTCTTTAGCCTTATTATATCTATTAAATTAAATGATTTCACACATCACCTTTAAACGTCAAATTTTTCAGGGCCTCGACTGGTTCCGTATTTGGCGGCGGTGGTAATACAAACGTGTTTGGTGGTAAAGCCGCCTTTGGCCAGTCCAATTCCACCGCGGCTGCTATCTTCGGCGGTGGAGGAGCAACGAGCTTCGGTGAACAGAAACCTGCTACCAACTTCTGGTCTGGAGGAAGCAATTCTGGAGGAGGATTTGGATCTACTGGGTTCGGTAAATATGAAACATCTTTACTATATTTTTGTAAATTAGGCTATTAGGGATAATAATATATTCAATGTTCCTAACCCACCAGTTATATTTTTTAAGTTATTTTTAGCTACTCAAATCTCATTCTTCATAAATGTGTAAACAGGTCAACAAGCTACAACGCAAGCGTCGTCAATCTTCGGCAATACAACAGGTGGTAGCTTTAGTACACCGTCTCCTGCTGGACAAGCGTTTGGCAGCCCACAAACCCCAGCATTTGGATCGCCACAGCAACAAGCAGGTAAGCACCAATGTATCTAATTATTCAAATTATGTTTATAAAACAGACTTCAATGAACCATATTAATCAATAAATGTTCAACAGCATATTTACAGTACATTTTCAATATGAATCCCGGTGTGGCTCGAAACTAATCAAGCATCCTCGAAATATATAGAAAATAGAGACAATAAATAAGTATCTATTACGCAATGGTAGTAATTCATCAAAACATAAATAATTCAAGAATAATAAATATCGCAATATTTAACAAAGACACTTGCTGACCACATCGTTGGCCGAGTGGTCGCAATTGCGCCTCCGGGGCAAGGAGTCTCAGGTTTGATTCCTGGGTTAGGCAAAGTATTACTAAATTTAAAAAAAAATAGTAGTAACACGTTCTCTGTAATTCTGCACGGTATATGTCACTATTGCCATATACCGTGCGCAATTATATAACAAACTCACCCCTTATTACTTGGGACTCGTAACATAAATAGTGAAAAGTGTGTGTTACATTGTACAGTGGCATTAAGTGCCGTAATGTGCACCTCTGCCTATAAATGGTGTAATGTTATATTATGGTACACTTGCTGACATAAAGGATAATATATTTTTATTCTTAGCTCCTGCATTCGGAGGTTCGCCTTCATTTGGTGCTAAACCCGTATTCGGCCAGGCTTCTGGTTTTGGGTCTCCACCTAGTGGTGGGGGCTTCGGCTCTTCATTTGGAGGATTCAATAAGAGTCCTAGTGGAGGGTTCGGAGCACCAGCGGCCTTCGGAGGAGGAGCTACGTTCGGTGGCAGTCCAGCTTTTGGAAGTACGTCTCCTGGGAAAATGTTTGGAGCTGCACAACCTAGTAAGTACCTATTATTATTTGTATCCTTAAAATTGATAAAAAGTCTTCTGGGTATTTAATATTGAGTTTTCGTTTTTATTGACACAATATAATAATGATTTCCTTCTTTTTTCGTATTAAATTGTCACCGATCAAAAACTAACGTCTATAATAAATGACTACAACTCCACTTTGATTGAACAAGTCAAATTTTATCGACCCGTTTATAAAAAGTGCACTTTTATTGTTGTTAAATAATATACCACACCAGTAAAAGTAACACAACAATGACATTTATTTTTTTAATTTTTCCAGCAGGTTTCGGTCAACCGACGCAGTCAAACGCTACGTTCGAGAGCTTAGCGACTCAGAACACGTTGACATTCGGCAACCTGGCGCAACAGGCGCAGGCGCCGCAACCACAAGCTCCTACCTTCAACACGTGAGCATTGGTTTTGCATCTAACCTTTACTCTTTATATTTTATCGATATTTTACAGTAAATATGGTTAAAATAAAAGTAATACGCAACCTACATCAGTTATGTTCAATCCGAATGTACAAAATAAACATTATTACCGTACTTCATGCACCATTACAGACTCCTTGCTATTGAGAATTATCTAAAACCGAAAAGGCAACAATATGAAACTCTTTCTACTCATGATTCGTACTCTGTTGAGTGTGACCCAATGTTTGATAGCCGAATTTAATATTAAATTTGTCGGCCAAATAAGAATATTTTTAGAATACACATATGTATGTGTGACTGCCTCGTTGGCCGAGCGGTCGCAAGTGCGGCTAGGGGTCTCGGGTTCGAATCCCGGGTCGGGCAAACTATTACCTACTGGGTTTTTTAAAAATTCGCTGCTAGCACGGAATTTGGAATTGTGCCCGGTATATGGCAATAGGCTCACCCCCTATTACATGGGACTCGTAACATAAATAGTGAAAAGTGGGTGTTACATTCTACAGTGGCATAATGTGCACCTCTGCTGGCCCTTCGGGGATACATTTGTGTCTTTAAAACCCAACTTCCGTGAGACATACCAAATTAACTTACTCACGGTCACGGCTTACTCACGTAACCGACGCATCGTGTGTCGCGGAATGTTGCTCATGAATATTAGGCTCTAGCATAGCTTTAAACGGAGCCGCAGAGCACTTAATGGGTTACCGGGGCTCCGGCTCGAAATGCAGGAATAGGAACGGAGTGGTTTTTAGTCAATAAGAGTCTGACCTCTCGCCTCACCCAGGCGGGAGAAGTCATTGGATGATTTTCCTTCCTCAAAAAAAACATAGCTTGAAACTAGTCGAGTTCCTCATCAAACAGTTACGTAAGTAATCTGACAACAGTAAAGTAAATAATAACTTTATTTCTTCCACCAGGTCTCCATCTTTCACTGGCTGGCGTGGCTAAGGGCTCGACGAGTAATATGTTCTCTTAATGAAGAAACTAAAAATGTATAAGCGTAGTGCCAATATGATATTCGTAATCTATTTAAATGTTTTATAGCGAAATCATTGTAATCTATTGTCTGTATTCAGTGAATGATATAATAAAACATGTAACCAATTCATTTAACAATTTTATTTATAGTTTGTTAATACCTAAAGCACACAAAATGATCTGTAACTTTCACCTGCAACCGACAGTTTGGCAGCAGCATTTTCTAAAATATTGGTGATTCCCAAACCCTGCGAAGATTACAGTGGACGTAAACGGCTGTATCTGTGACTGTGAGGTCTACAGAATGAGGAGCTCATTTACATATTTAAAATATATTATAGTAAAAAGCAACATTTATCTAGAGCATAAGTTATGATTTGCACAAAATCGCTTTTGCTAAATGATATTGCGACGTGATAGGTGCAATATACGCAAGTGATAAAATTTATAACTGACTCGTTGACCGAGTGGTTGCAAGTGCGACTACAATATATTGTACCTTTATATTATGCGGGCGAGGGGTCTCGGGTTTGATTCCAAGCTCGGGCAAAGTAATTACTGGGTTTTAAAAAAAACTCAGTAGTAGCACGGAGTTTGGAAATGTGCCCGGTACATGGCAATAGGCTCACCCCCTATTACATGGGACTCATAGCATAAATAGTGAAAAGTGGGTGTTACATTGTACAGTGGCATTAAGCGTCGTAATGTGAACCTCTGCCTACCCCTTCGAGGATAATAGGCGTGATGTTATGTTATGTAAATGAAATAATAACAAGTGTTCTCGTAGTCCCTTATCTCCCCTATTGAAATTCCCAATACAGAATACTTCACGACTTCATAGCATCCCAATTCCAGTTCGTACTAGTTTAAAGTTGATTCGTTAGTACAACTCCTATGTCCGAGTGCGAACTATGCCATCTCACTGTTTGCTAATGATCTATCCTGAATGTATAATGAGTTCATGCAAAGTTAAGAAAAACTTCATCCGTTGAATAACTTTGTATGTCCTAGTTGTCCTACTTCTACTAATGAGGCAGCAATCGAGTTATTGAAGGGAAACTTTGTGAGTGAATCCGTTGCTTGTTATTCGGACATCATAATGGATATGTAGTAGCGGGAGTCAATGGAACTGCTAAACAAGTAATCTAGGTTTGGTATCATTATAATATCGGAAACAGGTTTGCTTTCATTGTATAAGTGAGTATACCATTTTTTTATTACGGGGGAAAACATTCAAAAAACGGATTAGGGAGCGTGGGATTCGTACCTCAGTAAAACCACCCCGGTGGCCACCCTCAGCACCCGTAAGGGGCACCGGATCCTCTGAAGAGACTTTCTCCGAAAACCCCACAGTGCAACGCCTATTAGAGCACATCCCTAGGGAAGTACAAGGAAAAACGTGCATTTAGTGCACTTGTACCTTACAAGTGCACTAAATGCACGTTTTTAGAAACAACTGCTACACAGGAAAAACTGAACACATCTGAAATTTAAATACAACAGGATGTAATCCAAATGCAGCTATCTAGGTACTTAGTCAAAGCCTAACGGTCTTATTATTATGCAGCCAAAACTGCAAACAAAAGCTTGCAGCTTGCCGCATTATTCATAATATTCAAACAAAGACAAATTATTCGCGCTGCAGGTGTTGTCGTGTAAACAAAACTTGTTCGGTATAATGGGTGACATTAGTCTTGCCTGCAAATTACACCCGGCTGTTTGCACCTCAAGATTGGGGTCATTACCGCCAGACGTCGCCTTGCTTTATTGTCTTTTTCTAGCAACGCCTAATTGCTGCAGAAATTATTGTAGTGCAACGTTTTATAATTTACCTATGCGATATGCGAACAAAGATTTTATAGCAGTTTTAATCACCTAACTATGTATGTAGGTATGTATGATTTTTATGGCGATACTGATTCAACGACCGATAAGCTTAGAGTATTTATGGTTAAATACTCTAGTCGGTTTATTAGAAGAAACATAAATTAGTGGCTAGGTACGTACTAAATCTATAAGTATACCTGAATGGCAATTAAAATACTGAAGAAGAAAAATCCGTTGAACACAGATATAATCCATCTCAAAACATTAACTAGATTTCGTTGCACTTACAACTCGTGTCCCAATCCCATAAACTGCAGCTACAAAATGCAATTAATTTACTCTGAAGTGAGACGTGAAAATGGTTGTTACAAAAATGTGAAGCGAACTCTAGGGCTCTCTGTCAATACGAGAGCTTTTACCTACTTCACGCGAACGAATTCGTTCGTCCAATAAAATTCAATTAACTTTCAAAATACATAGGCATAGGTATATATACCTTCCTATGTAGGTATGTATTTACTGCATAGGGGGAAACTATCTTGTCTATAAGAGTGCGAGTGTCATTGGTTGGTGGTTGTTGCCAGTGCCACTGTTTGTAGGGATCGGGTTCCTGAAACGAAAATCAGGTTTAAAAGAATCCATATTTGCTTACCTAGGAATCGAAAGCCCGTGTTTGTTAGTGGCCCTTTGTGACTTCTAAGATCATTAGAACTTATAAAAAAGACGTATTGTTTTTATAACAACTATCGTGAGACATAAGTACCTACTGATTTAACTAAAAATAGCGAACATTTTGTTCTCTAAAATTGCTTCTGGATATTGGTAGGTATTCGAAATAGTTTCTGCGGTCGACGTTATCCCGGAAATTAAACTAGAATATAGGTCGAGCCGACTAGGTGCTACTTAGCACATCTAATAGTTAGCAAACCTGCAAACCTCTATTGACAATAATTTAGGATTTGCTCGTACAGGAAATTAACAAGATAATTCATAAAGGCTGAGGAATCAAATAATTGATATCGGAGCACATTAATTGCACGAGACATGGGTAAGGAAGGTATTAATTACTAATATTTTGCCTATGTCCAAGGTATTTAAAATAATAAAAACGCTGCGTAAATAACTAAAAAAAATCTACCTACCTATCTAAACTAAAAACCAATATCAAATAAAGCCTTTTTTAATATCAAATAAAGGTTTTAGCATTATAACTGAAACAAGACTTACATATTTTATTTATTTTCTCAAGAAGTAGGTATTTAGGAAACTAAGTTCTTACCTACATTTTCATATCAGACTATTACATCTTTGTATGAGACCGTTTCCGTACACAGGTCTCATTAATAGCACGTTACTGATTGAATCTTCTGCCCTAAAAAATTCGAATCGGAAAATGAATGCCTCTTTGTGGATATCGTAAATCGTTAAGCTTAAGCCCCGCCTAGCTGAAGGGTGCCCTACAGCTATATTCAAAACCAAGACAAAGTTTAATAAAATATAATTATCATTAAATGATATATTTAAATTTAGGATACTAGGGCAATAAATTTTATTGCCCTAGTATCCTATTTCAGAACGTAGCAAATTATGTCACAACGTTGAAGGAAAGAAAGACATCATGTTTTTGCGCATCAGCATTGTATTCTTTCACTATTGACATCTCTTTTACTCGCACGACTCAGTATCTTTTCATTTCATTCAGCATTACGATTTTTATGTGCAATTTCGTTCGTGTTGTAACATCTTTGTTATTTGTCAGTTGTCAAATGAAATGAAACTCCATCTGTGAAATCGGAAATCGTATGGTTATTGTGTGAATCACGAAAATCCTACACATTTAACCAAGATTATTCTAAAATAGCTCGACATGTGGTTAAAACGGAATAATATGTGAATAAAAAAATTATACCTACTTGATTCTCATCAGAAATCAAGTCGCCGACTGCAAAAATGTTGCGATACTATTTCATGCTGATATGTTTGTTTTTCCTTTATTCTGGAGTTGAAGCTTCAGGTGAGGCGAAAGGAGATAAGGTGGTCGTGGATTGTAGCACGTTACGACTGGGTCAGTACATTTGCCCTGATCCAAACAAAGATCAAATCGATCCGAACACCCAACAGTTTGCAGGATGCGTCAAAGGGAAAGAAGTTCCGTCAGAAGGGGAGGCAGAAGGTAACTAATGAATCATATTGGTTTTCTAACAACCGTTGTTTCTAGTTCCTATTTCCTTCAGTGTTTTTGTAGGCACCACCAAGTTTTGTAACATAAGCTGTGGTGTGAATACTTCCTCATATAGTTAATTTTAAATCTGTTGTCCTTGCTTTGAACTTCTTAATTATCAATATTAGCACTTAAATGCCTATTGTATGTCTAAGAATTATAAATGGTAATGAGTAAGCACTAAATAATGTATCTTGAACTATTGTTTATTTTCAGTGTACTGTATCGCATCTGAAGGAATTATCTGCAATGAAACAAACAGCTCTTCATTCAAAAGAAAGATGCCATGTAAATGGACGTAAGTAGATAGTTATAAATTCCTTTAATTATTTCTATACTTGACTTATATATTTTTAAATACTTGATTATATAAAAAAAACATTTAAAAATATAAAAAGCAGTATCCCACCAATAACAGTAATAGTTATAATATTATTAAGAATGTTCTATACACCATAAATATTATTCCTGATATAAGAGTTGAGTTCCTTCCTTGTTTTTCTGTTTGAATAGATTTCGGAACACGCATTCAGCTTCTCTGATACTTCAATTGACTGACAATTTTATTTTGATGTAAAATGTGCTTCTTTGTGACTGCCTCGTTGGCCAAGTGGTCGCAAGTGCGACTGCCGGGCAAGGGGTCTCGGGTTTGATTCCCGGGTCAGGAAAAGTATTACTTTAACATAAGGTTAATATAAGGTTTTTAAAAAAAATCTCTTGTGTCCGGTATAGGCTCACCCCCTATTACATGGGACTCATAACATAAAAGTGAAAAGTGGGTGTTACATTGTACAGTGGCATGATGTGCACCTCTGCCTACCACTTCGGGGATAAAAGGTGTGATGTTGTGATGATGTGCTTGTATGTTAATTCATTTAAATAAATACATAGGATTTTGAGTTTGAATAAAACTTTTCATACATGAACTCTTTTTCAATTGTTTACTACCACAATGTAATTGGATTACATTACACGAGACTCCATAAATTGTGAAAAGTGGGTGTTACATTGTACAGTGGCATTTAGTGCTTTTATCAGCAGATATGTGCACCTCTGCCTACCCTTTCGGGGATAAAAGGCCTGATGTTACTTTGTTTGTAGTTGGTTTAACTCGTCAAGTACCGTCATTATAGACACAATTATAGAACAATAGCTTGCGGTCACCGGTGACCGCTTGGTGTTTGACAGTTTAATGTTGTAAATTAACAGATTAAAATGTACCTTCAAAACCTAAAATGCTATTTTTATTTCCAGGAATGGCTACTCACTAGAGATAGCACTGCTTCTGTCAGTATTCTTGGGTATGTTCGGATTGGACCGCTTTTATTTAGGCTATCCTGGGATTGGGTTAGCTAAACTGTGTACTTTGGGATTCATGTTCCTGGGACAACTCTTGGACATAATTCTCATTGCTGCTCAGGTAATTATAACAACTGTTATAGTTCTCACTGTGGAAGCCCTAGAAAATAGATATCTAAATACAATTTTCTGAGATACTTAATATTATGTTGGTATAGTATTCGATAATAGTCATTCAATTATTTACTACCATAAAATAAAATGTGTTGGAAATAATATACCTAATCTTATCTTATATTATAAATGGGAAAGTTTGTGAATTTGTGTGTACTTATGTTTGTAACTAAATCACATCAAAATGACTGAAGGGATCGGAGTGTACATATATGATTTCGAATAACACATGAGCTACTTATTATTTGATGCAGAAACTATTTTATATATATTATAATTATAAACATCACACATTTGAGCAATGTTAGCTCATGTAAGCCTTTCTTTTTAATATCTGCATTCCATTTTCAAGGTGGTTGGTCCTTCTGATGGTTCAGCCTATGTTATACCCTACTATGGAGCTGGTGTCACAGTAGTCCGAAGCACCAACGAGACCTACCTGCTTCCCCAGGCAGACTGGCACAACATCACTTGACAGTGGGGTACAATATCATTTGAAGATGACGAGGACTATGAATGGACTTAAGATCTGTTTGATGTGAACCAAAAAGTGGACTGATTGTACTAGAAATAAGGTTGTAAATACTTTGTTAAGCTGATGTGATTTTTTTGTTTTATGTATATGAGTGTTAATCATGGTATTAAGCAAGTGTGGTTCTTGTTATGATTGGCGTACAGTACACTTTTGGACAACGGCTGTAAATATCTCTAGTGTGCCTTCTAGACATTAGGAAATGCAGTCCAACTGCACATAAACAGCCAATTAGATGACAGATGTATTTAAACGAACTTTCTATTTATTTATTTTAACAGAAACTTTAAACTTATCTGTAAATATAGGATTAAATCAAACTTTGGTATCCCATAATTATCATGTGAAGTGTATACTGGTGTATGAAATATTTAATTTTGTATAGTTTTCCATTTTATTGTAGAATACAGAGGAGAATTACGATAACAATGTTTTATTTAAATGGTAGCACAACAGGGAGTTAACACAATAAAAATGAATATTTATAAACAAAAACAATTTACTATGTAACAACTACATAAATATAATTATTATATATGAAATTGCAATTGCACAATGGCAATTTCATAAGTATTACATCCCTATATAAATAATATTTCACTTATTAAATTCTAGATTCTTCTTTTTCTTTGCTATCCTTTATAGCTGGCTGAGTTTCTTGTATCGCTATCTCACTTGGAGGTGCTGTTAGTGTGAATATAACTGGTATATTAGAAAGTTGAGGGTTGCCATGCTTTTCTAGTAACCTGATCCATGATAGTAAGGAATCTCTTGATGAGGTGCCTGAAGACAGAAATAATATTTAAATTATTGCAGTCAAATCTAATTAATTTTGAACAACGATTAGTTTGATTTTGTCATATTAACAGCAAAATATTCACTGTTGAACATAGAGCTCCTCCAGAACTATTCAACTGGCCAATATAACAACATTGACAATTATTTTTCGGAAATTCTTATTTTAAATTTAACTTTTTTTTTAAATCTTACCTGTAGCACACACTGATACTATTGTACCATCATCTTGTTCATGAACTGTTTGCCTCACTGCAGGTAGTGTTGTAGTGCCAATAAGCCCAGGAATTCCAGGAGGCTTCTCAATATTTGAAACATCTGAAGAAAGATATTATTTATTGATTCGATAATATTGTTCAGATGTGGACTTTATGTGATTAAATTAGACCTCTAATTGTCAGTAAGGTATCTTCATGTGATTGATATAAGAGCTGTATTTAAAATTTTGATAATTATATAAAAAGAATATTACCATCAGGATCTGTGTTATCTTTAATTTCTGGCCTTGTTTTTCCAATTAGTAAGAAGTAGTTGACCACTTGTTCTCTCAAGTAAATGTTAAATGGTCCCTTCACAATCAATGGGTCATCAGTTGGCTGGTCTGCTAGGAGTATCTTCTGTGCTTCACTTTGAGCACTCACCACCCAGGTCTTGTCTAATGAGGCTTCTATTTCTTCTGTCTGACAAAAAATTGTTTTGTTACTAAGGTTTGGTGACATATATAAACATGAGAATATTGCTAAGTTGCAGTTAATATTTATTATGGGTGTTTTTAACTTTTACAATTAATTCAAGATTGAACAACTGTATAGATAGACAGATGTTTAGTATGACATCGGAACTCCAGGCTCGTAAATTATGAGATATGTGAGTAGGATTTTTCAAGAACTTGATGGGCAAATATTAAAACTATTAAATAATAATTCAAGAAACAAAATTATCACCTGCCAAATCTCAACTTTGGTATCTGGGTCCACTGATGTTATCCTCTGAATAGCAAGTTTAGCTAATTCAGTTGTATCATTAGGCAGTTGTTCAGGTAAATACCAAGGACTTAAGTTTCTGAACTTTGGCATCCAGTACATCATGCGCCAGAACTTGCGCAGAGGTATACCCCGGGCACCAAATATATTCAGCAGCATCTGTTCCATTTCCGTATCAGGCATAACTTCTGTATTTTCAGAGAAAAGAATATTAGTGTTTGCTTAACGAGCAGCAAAATAAAATAGCAACATAATATACTCAATTATAAGTAAAGCAAAATAAACGATAAGTACTATTGTCCTCCATTTGTTCCAACAAGTCCACGGCACACTGCTGCTGTTTCGGATAATGCATAAACTCTGCTTGGAATATATTTTTTGGAATAAACTTTCCTTTAGGTAGCACTTCGACTAACGCCTTATATACTTCGAGATCTTTTTGGACACCAAACTCCTTCATTCTTGCTAAAGCAGCGTATATAAACTCGACATGACCTCGTCTTCTGTTGTCCCGGCCTTCGAACATTTTTACTACCTCCAAGTACGTCTCCTTGTTCTTCTGTGGCTGTGAGTAAAATGGATCGTGGATAGTAACGCGTTTCTCCGGTTCCGAGGTCTCCCATCGCTTGAAAATCATCATAGACGGTCTACTTCTCAAAAAATGTCCTAAGATTTTGTTAGCCATTTTAGGTTATGTTTATAACTGAAGAGACGAGTGTTTATCAGTGATATAAAAATATTTTCGAAGTCGATCACGTTGTACAGGTTAATACTTTACTTCAGCATGGAGTGTCCTGATAAAACTAGTACCATTACCATATTTTTGTAAAGAATACACTCTCCGATCCCAAATCTCAAATGTCAATTGTCCTACTGACAACCGACAATCAGAAGTTTAGAAATGACAGTTGACAGAGCACCACCAAATTTGATATTTTTTTAATTTTATGTTTAGTTATTTGATATCCCATTTATTTTATTTGTGATTTATTTTATTCTAATAAAACACATATTTTTTTACAATAACGTGTTTGCACTACAGGTTTGCACTTATTTTGCGCGCCTTTATATATTACGTTCATTAGTTCACATCATTCATCATTCGTTGTTCATTTCATTCAAGTAGTTTCTAAATTTTTCCCGCGGTATGTATGACTTGTTCGTTCTTCAACCAAACCAGTTGAAATAGATGCGCAGGTGGAGTGAGACGTGTCGTTTCCAAAAACTTTGTAAATCACGTATTTAAATACGAAAGTATACTGTAATTTTTGTTGGAGGTATACGAGTTGAAGTGTATTGTTTTTACATATTCAAGGCTCATTAGTTTCTGTAGTTCACATTAAAAGTGAGAAAACCGGGTATAAAAGTTATTTACGTATGACTGAAATTTAAATAAAAAATCTTGTTTTGACGAAAGTGTTGATGACCGTCAAGATGTCTAGGGACATTCAACTGGGCTGTTTATTGTTGGTTATCATGCTGAGTGCCACCGGTAAGATTTATTTTTTAATTAATACCATGTACTTTATGAACATTTACAAATTTCTTGAAACAGTGCTTAAGTCGTACATACATGAGTAACATGCTGATAATACACGCTAAGTACGTACTTACATTGTGTAAACTAGTGTGAAACACGTGAATAAGTAAGTAACAAGGTTTGCAAGCAACTTTCATTAATAAATAACGAGTTGATAAAGGCTCTGTTTTGCTGTTTCAAGGTTAATAGTGAATTGTAGGATGCTTGGCTTAGTTCATGCGTTATAGGTGTCGTGTGTGCCTAGGTCCTGTTTCGAAAAAGTGAGAGACATATCATACATTTAGTTATCTATAATTATCTACCACTATGTATGGAATCAGCTGTTGGTTAGCATTGAGTGCCTTGTTAAAATGAAGGCTGAAAGGCGCAATAATACTTATTGGTTTTACTTCTCAATTAGACATAAGTATCATACTTTTATTATCAAAATATTTCATAAATTTTTAACTAATGGAAATCGATTAGAATATTACGGGCTCACGTATAGTTGAACAGTTAAACTCAAACACATATTGAGTATAGGTAAATATAAACATTATGTTGAATGAATGGCAATGAACGATGGTAAAGAAAATAGTTAATGACATTTACTTTGTGAATGATTCATTGAAGTGATTCTAACTGAGTTATTTAAATATACCTATTGCAGGTAGATAGGTAGGTACCGTATATTTAATACCTATGTATGTTTGCATTTATTGTACAAATATCGGATTTTTACAACAGGTGTAAATTGAGTACAATGTGACGTAATGTAAGTAGTGATGTCGTATGCTAAATAATTTAACTCGTTATCATTAATTATGTCTCAATATTTTTTTTTGAGTTTTACAATCCTATGTATTTTCTCATCATCATCACTATCAGCCTCTTTCTGTGCACAGGATAGGTGAAATGTATTTCATAATGAAAAGGCATCTTGATTTTCAGATTGAAAATTTTATTTAACTTACCGCTTTCGAAAACCAATACCTACTGAAACCCATTTACTAATCGACAGCTCATAGGGTATCTAAATATACAGACCACGAAGTTAGTCAGTCACTGTGATAAAATACAAAGATATCAAAACAAAAAATAATCATTTACAATAAAAATTGCACAAAGTAAGAGAACAATGATTACATTAACTGGAAAAGTTAATTCTAAGAGGTATCGAAAGACACTCCACTGCATAGGAGCACAAACAAAGCTGTAGTAGCTACTACCTATTTCCCATACCATTCTCCCCGAGTTATGTAATTAAAGCATAATGTTATCGCTGAATTAACACTTAATTCCAACACTTACAATAACGATCCAGCCACGTGTATTCAGAATTCATTCCCCTCGATGTGTTGAGCAAAATTTAATATAACTTTATGTGACTACGTTCAAACAGAGGGCGTTTCTGGATTTGTTCCAAGAAACTGTATTCTGTGCAATAACATAAAAAATAAAGGTGGATGCCGTATGTTTTTAGGTAGATATATGTATTTTTAAAATACTCCAAAAGCCCTTGACGTAGGTTCGGGTTAATAAAAGTACTTGAAGAAAAGTGATTCCAAAACTTTTCTCGTTCAATATAATTACATAATTTTTGGAACAAACTTGGGATGTTTCAGAGTTCTTCCACGGGAGAATATGAGATCAAACAAAACAGTTTATTTATATTTATACTCAGACTGTTAGGGTGGCCAATTGTTTAAGTGAATTCGGTTAGGTTCTACGTTTCAAGATTCAACATTTCAATGACTTATAACGTTAATAGAAAAACGATTTTTATCATGTAATTTATTATTTGGCAAAGTAATAAACCATTAAAGTCAAAAGCACATGGAAAAATTCACGATGTATTAGACTTATGACGTAGGCAACAAAAAACTACCATAGCGGCGATAAAATTAACCGCAACAAATGACAATACTGCTCTGTTTGCATAGTTTCTAAGGCTAAATAACTATTATGGCGCACGCGTCGGTACCTCGTGCTAAGTACTGGTACATTAGCGCCAATCCGCAAGTTCATTGGAACCGCATAGACGATGCGCGGTATTTTTTGCCTGTTGTTTATAACTCGAGGCGTGGCGTGGCGTGGCACACCGTGCAGTGTCTTCGGGCTCGTGTCCAAACGCCTACGTTTTGTGACGTGGTTACCGTTCTCATTGATACGCTTGACTGGACCATATTTAATATTCTGTGTCTACAGTAAATATACTGTTCATACTTAAACAGTTCAAACGCTAAATCAAAAGGGAACTGAAAAATGAACAAACGATACACATGTAACGTCATTGTTTAAAATTATTGCCACATTAATAACCCAGTTTTATTTATTCTGTGGACGGTCATATTTAACTGTTTGTTCGCTATCGACTATCGGCAAATTTATTCATGAGAATAGTCTCATAAATTGATTTGATTTGAATGGATGTGTTCGCTGTACAACACAATGTAGCAATTACATCTCGTTTAGCTTACTCTTTTGCGCAATCATAGTAGTTAGTTGAGCCACATTAGGAACAATAAATTTGTACACCTCTCTAGTTCTTTCAGTTCTAGAATATTTATTATTTAAAGGGTGAGAATCTTCTTAGCAAATAGCGCATCTTCTAAATAATAAAAACAAGACTTGTTTGCTCCATTAATTCGATTTTTAAATAAGAGCACCATAAAGTTTTTCCTGCCAGCACTTCGCTAGTGACGTGCAATTATGCCCTATTCGATTCAATAGCCCCGTGATGAATATCGATGATGACCCATTTGAAAAGCGCTGCATTATTCGCTCGTGTAAATACACGCATAATTGTATACTGAAATGAACGTCGACTAAGTAATTCAACTGGTTCACTTTAATAGTGTACACAAACTGCATCATGTTTTTCCTGTTTACCCCAGCGTACTTATAACCCTTTTTGGCAATGGATTTGGGAAGCTACGTAGGTACTCTATTGAACAAGTTTCTTTATGTAACAGTTGTTTACTTCTCAAGAGATTGTCTCAAGGCTTTCAGAAATATAAAATACGTAGTAAGTAACTGTTATTTCAATAGCATTTATACAAACAGACATACGTCTGGCCACAATAATTTCAAGGATACTAAAAATAATTTCCAGATTACGTTTCAGTGACATTCATCTTGTGCTCTGCGCCTAATACCCTCTTTATTCATCTCTAATCTCTATAGTAATAAAGAAATGGATTATATTAACGTCGTAATCTGAGCAAGTAACAAAATTTTCATACTTATTTCGTATTTTTATGTCCAGAATAAAAAATCATTCGTACAATTGGAGAGCGGTGTAGCACGTTGTGTGTTGAATTGTTAAAATAGGTTAGGTATACACGTTAGGTATCAATACGCGATTCTGGATCGAGCAAAAGGAAAATTACACACAGCCCGCGGCATGAATTCGGTCAATTTGGCGCCCCCAACGCCTTTACGTAATCAAACAAAATTTTCAAACGGTACCTATAGATTGAATATTCGATTTCAACCGTGGACACGTAAAGGTGGTAGCAATTTTTAATGGCAGCTGAATTGTTAACAGATTGGAGTGATCACAATGGACGTTGCTTTTTAATCTTTTTGCTGAATCTTTCTTCAAATAAATTCAAATTTAGAGAAAGCACTTGAATAAGCGATCGGATCACAGAATTGGTGGAAAGTAAATCGTCGATCGGTGTAATATCGTAGCTTAATTTATTCTACAAAATATGCTTAACATTGCTGATTATAATATTATGAACGTAGCCGAAACACTTAAGCAAACAATATTAATAAAGGCATTGTGTACCATCGTAAATTACGACACCCGAACTCTTTGGAAGTTCACATTTTAATAACTAACTGCGATGGTATTTTTTAACAATTTTTTTTTAATATAGTACCAGCGTGTTTTTTGTATCTTTAAGGCTTTCATCTAGTGTCCGTTTACTGCAGTAGGCCTCATTAGCACACCACCAGTTTTCCCCTCAAGCATCATTCCACAGATTCGTAATTAAATTAAATTCATTTTCATTCATTCATTCATTCATTCATTTTGCACGATGATCTGTTGACACCCTATTATTGCATGATTTGCATGCATAACTTGTAATACATAAATTAAATGTCATAATCAGGGTTAAATAAATATTAAGTAAATATGGGAAGATACCCTATGACCCCTCGTTTATTATTAATCATTATATTGGTTTTAAGTGTACTTTACCTTTAACATAGGTTACAATAATATTTATCTTATATACATACATATTATAATAAAATCGTAGAAAAGTCAAAACTGTACATTGAATATTTTTTAAAAATAATACCTGGGGCGTGATCTACAATGGACACCGAAGCCAAAAATATGGTTCTTAGAATTTTTGTCTGTTTGTCTGTATGTATGTCAGGGATGATCTCAAAAAGTAACTCATGGATTTACTTCGAATTTAGCATGAATAATACTAAAAGGTCGGGTCAACATATAGGCTACATATTGTCACGCTATCACCTACGGGGGAGCCCTATACTAGGTACTGAATAAATTCTGACGACATTCGTTACTGTAGAATATCCCTTGATAAAGACTAATTCAAAAGCCTAAATTCTGCCAGGAGTCATTATTCTACGCGGACGTGGAAGATTTCGAGTTTACATAGTATCAATGATAACCTCCGTGTTGTACGGATAAAATTAACATGTTTTCCAAATTTCTTTTGTAATATACTTCTCCGAATCGTCCGACCATTTACGGATTCACCTTTGTAGCATTTCCCATGAAAAAACGTACCTTTAAGGTATCATATTTTGGTGATAACACTGAAAGAGTAACGCTAGAAGACTTCTAACTTCTAGCAGATATTATGACTATTGAATTTTATACACTGTATTGAAGTCTCACAGGTCATTGACACAACAAGACAGGTATTATACCTACATAACATAACATCACGCCTTTTAATCCCCAAAGGGGTAGGCAGAGGTAC